GAAGGAGGACGACTCGATCGTTTTTAATACCTGCGCGCGCGCGCAAGTACGTTATCCGATTCACGTGGCTTGATTTACGGTTCTTTTCGTGGATCCGGATAGATTTCTCCGTTTTTTCGTTGCCTGTATTCATTCGTTCGCGTTTCACGATCCGATTCCGAGCGTCGAAACGTTATTTACACGGCGGACAATGGTATGGCACGTCCCATTGAAACAGGACCAGTGGTTTTTCCTTTCGTTTCCATCCCCCCCCCCTAAACCCCCAACCCCCTCCGCGTCGGTGTGCACCGATTAAATCGGTGAAACGCGGTCAGTCAGTCCTGTCGCCGTCCGGGAATAAAAACGACCGAATCGACACGATAAACTTTGCGAAATAGTTCCGTAATAGGCCATAATCCCTAAGTCGTAAAGTATAAAATGTATCAACAAATTTGAAAGGAAACATCCCTCGCTCACACCATTTTAGGCAATTACTTTCACTTTCTATCCCTTTGCCCTTTATCTTTTCTTCTTTTTTTTTTTTAAATTCGCGTATCGCACGATAGTTACAGAACCGCATAATCGTTTGTTAGAGGATTTCGTTAGACTGTTTAAGAATTTTCTGCGGTTTCAGCAACACAGCGTGACCAAGCCACAACGGGGCCGGGTTTCCTTGTCGTGGCCGCGGGGTACCGAGAGCGATTCTTCGTGCGCGTGTCGCAACGCCGGATAAACTTTCAATGAAAAAACAACGTCCTCGTGAGAAAGGGGATTGCACAAAAGGAAATGATTGCACTATAGAAAAATAAACTATTCGAAGATACACACACACACACACACACACACACATCGTATAGACACTTCCCGGGTGCAGCTCGATCGGGCTAGTATAAATCGAATGGGGGAAATAGCGTCGCTCTGGAAGTGGAGTGTCGCGCGCGCGTTGCTCTCGAACACGGCCTCGCGTAGAAGGAAACCACCCGGCCCCGCCCCGTTTCGGGCTCTCTCGTTCCTTTCCTTGACTAAAGGCGAAGAAATCGATATAATTTAATTAATAATTGACAGATAACCAATTAATACGTATAGGATGGCCCCGCGGCAAGAAGGCGTAAATTCCTAAGATTCAAAACGACATAAACTTTTTCTAATTTTAACATCGCCTCGGGCCATCCAGTACATTGATTGTAATTACTTCCCGCAGTATACTTCGTTAAATCTACATCTTTTACAATAGAAATCATGTCTGTTCTGTATGTATAAGATCTCTCTTTCTCTCTCTCTCGCTCGGCATCATCGCCACCTGTTGGTGGTGAAATGTCGTGTACATGCGCGCGCGCGCGTGTTCTCCCTCGGATACGAGTCCTGGGCGAACAGTTACACCGTCCGGTGGTGTTGCACGCGTTTATTGTGAATCGTGTCTTCTCCCCCCCTTTTCCTGTGTGAATCTGTACAGTTCAAGCATATTACACATTTACATGGGCACGCGTTCGAGCGCCTACGCGCGCGCTATTCAATTTCAATTTCCCCGCCTGCCCCCCAACCCGTTAGCGCTCGCCAACGTGCGCCGCGGGTTTGTTTTTGCGCGTTTGCGAATTGCAAAATCTCGAAAAATCTTTCGTTCTCGCACACATTTTTTCTCTCTCTCTCTCACACACACACACATACATACTCACTCTCTCGCTCTGTCGCCTTTTAAATAGTTAACAGTAACATCAGCATGAACATTGTACAGAGTGATTTGATGTACAATGAAGCCGGGCATCCGGTGAACAGTTCCCCCGATCCCTGGAATGGACGCTCCGCAGACGAGGCTGGTCGACGTTCGCGGTCCACGGGAACGCACGCTCGAGCAACGTCGAAGATGCCTTAACGAGTACGGTAATACTACACACTGTATGATCTCGCTCGAGCCGAACGCGTTCACGTGAACGGCGACGTCGCGAACGAAGGAACTAACTCTGATCGTTTTCATATGACGACGGACCGCGCACATACGTCGCTGCCGGTCGTGGAATGTGAGAACGAATCCTTAATAGGAAGGAAGTATCGTTATGAATACTGATTCTTTTCTTTTTTTTTTTTTTTTTTTTTTTTTTTGTTACGTGTTTCCCAATTGTACACTTCGACCAGCGGAGCGAACCGTCCGAGATGAGCTGCCCGCCCCGGAGGGGCCCCACGCGTAGAGTCGGATATGCACAATAGTGTGTTTTTCATTTCTTTTTTTTCTTCTTTTGTTCACAGTTATAAAACTAACTAAATCTTACGAGATACGGTGAGCAATAATTCCAGTTATGTACAGAAATTATGTTACATACGTCACAATATAAAGATATCTTCTGACAATACAAACTTACACAATTCGTTCTAGCTCCGGAACAGCCGACGCGACGAGCGTAATTTATGCTCCCCCCCCCCCTTCCCCGTTCGTTTCATTACGGTTCGTCGTCACATTGACACGCTCGCGCGCGAGCCCACTTTCGTGTTCTCCTGTAACCGCTGATCACCGACCAAATGCGTCAGTTCTTACTGTGCAGCCTTCTCTTTCGGGATCGTTTTTTAATAATTGATAGGCTACCCTGTTTCGTTATCGTAATCAATGGTAATTTATCCCTCGCTGTACATCATCGCGACGTGAATCAGTGATGTTTCTGTTTTCGTTTCGTTTTCTTCTTCTTCATCTTTTTTTGTTTGTCGCGCTTATTTGAACGCAAAATCTTCTCGTAGATCATCCTCGAGGAAACATTCGACAGATCTCACTTTTTCTATCTCTCGTCGTGTTTACAGTAAATCATCGATAAGTGTTCGAATGCTTCTCGGCACTGAATGTTCAGACGTCATCCCCATTACTGAGGGGTCCCCCGGGGAACCATTTAAGCGCCCAGTGGTGGAGACGACGTTTGAAAACTCAGTGTCGTGGAGCCTTTGGAACATTCATCGATGATTTACTGTACTTCGAAATTTCCTCGGTCATGAACCACGGCACATCGAACAGAAAAACAAACCGATCTATATAATATATATATATATATACCCGAGGAAAATCAGAATAATTTAATAACGAGCGCAATCAAGCGGATACTTCTCGACTCTCTTTAGGTTCGTTCCTTACGTCGCGCTTCTCTCCGCGTGAGATGCAACGAATATTCGCCCCCAGGACTACCCTTCCCTTCGATAATTCCTCTGTTTTCTCTTCTTTCATTTAATAATATCGTTACGTAGTATTTACAGGAAGCCGTTCCACTCGCGAAAGAGCTTATTTGAATAGAGTTTTGTTCTCGTAGCGCCACCAAACTATAGGCCCTATGTTCATATTGACAACAGGTGTATAATATATATTTATAATATATATATATATCATTTTAGCTATCTATTTTACAAACGTCGGCCCGGCGAACGCGTCGATCGTTTCACAGAGACACGCGTTCGCGCCTAATTGGATCCTCAGGCCGAAAGGAGACGCGATATCGCCTCGGGTGCCTCGTCTCTGAGCCAAGCCCCCCAGCACGCGCGATCATCGAGGATGTCGTTCGCTATCGTTTAGCGCGCTTACTTGCAAGTACCGCGCGAGATCTAATAACATTTTAATTCCCTACAAATAAAAAAAGGCAGCACGACACAGTAACACGTCGAAGTAGCAGCCGCGAGACGTAGCCTGTCCCCGCCGAGCGACGTATCGATCACGCTCGATTCGTCGGCCAGCTTGCCGGACATCCGTCTACATATCACATTATTCAAAGAAAGCGAAATACCGGACGAAGCCTTGTCTGACTACGTGAACACACGTGTTCTCCCCATCGTAAAGTAGACTGCTACTGCGACCAAACGACGATCCACGACGATATTCGATTCCCGTTTTCGTTACTTCGAATGAACAGTTTAAATGCTTATCGAGATCTAAATTATGCGAATAAAAAGATTGTCGATACCGAGTGGTCTGTCCTTGTTCCGAAGAGCCCCTTCGATTTACGAACCTAACCATCGTCCTTCGTTTCTTCCCATCCTCCCTCCCCCCACCCATCCCTAGCGAACCCTCGAACACCATCTTCTTTATTCTTCGTTTTTTCTCTCGTTGACTTGAAACGTTGCTGTCTACACAGCTGTTCGCCACGTTGTTGCCCCCCCCCCATTGACATTCAATGATGATTTCACTTCTGTCCAGCCTCCACGATCGACCAGCAATCGAAACAGATAAACAACACTGTTCCCCCGCGCGCGCCATTGAAGGAATTCCCCCATAATCCCGTTCAGTCTTCTTATACGGAGTACCCATAGTCGCGATCTGTCCTTTCCTCGCGAACTCGACCAGTAATCCTTGCGCGTCCGATGCCTAGACCTGTTCGAAACGTTCCTCGAAATCAGCCGTAGGATATATACCCCATGAATTCACCGGTCGATCATCCGCTTCCATATCCGTCCAACAGGTGCGATCGATGTTTCCATTTTTTGTTGCTGGTCGACCCTCGAGGCGGCTGCCTTATGCGTCGAAGCTGTCCGGCGGGTTTGTAGCTCGCGGTTCATTGAACAATCGTGGCACCGATTCTTTCGTGACCAGCAACCTATCTCACGCTCTGCCAGCCAGCGATGCTCGTTCGTTCGTGAATCCTCTTTGGCGTTGTCTCCAGGATGCGAACATCGGTCCCGTACGTTTTCCGTTTCGCCAACAGTTTCGTCGCGACATCGTAGCTGACAAGCTCCACGAGTTTTGGCTCTTGGTGCGATTCTTGTGGCCTTCGAGGTTTCTCCAATGAGACGCGATCCACGCCACGAACGGTCCAGGTCTCGTTCGAGGGACACGCGCTAGTCATCGCTCGTACGTTACGAGTGGCGTCGACACGACGACGTTGCTCCACAAGTTGTCGATGATCCCGGCTGGCACTTCGTAGCTGCCTAAGTACTTGCTCGATGTATTTGAGGGTCTCGCCGTTCTCAGCGATTCGTTGAGCTCGTCCCTTCGTCCGACGTTTCTTCCCGTTGAGCTCGTTCTCCAACCTCGGCTCAACCAACAGTCGTTCGACCTCCGGCAGGATCATGGAAGCTCGTCGATCGACGTCCTGATTCTCCAGTCGGACGTTCTGGCGGTTAGGGTTGCTGCTCACAGTCGCGGTGATCGTGTCCCGTGGCTTGAACGTGTTCGAGCATGGGTACCGTGTATCTTCGAGGGCTCGACGATGTCCAAAGGCGGTGCTAATTAGGCCCGAACGTCGACGGTTCTAGTTCGGATAGACCCCCTGGCCTCATACATGCGTCGCTAACGTCCCGACCGCCGAGGTGCGTTTTACCGTCGCGACGCCGCCGTTCGGACCGCCTGTGATGTAGTGCGCTGACAGTGGTGCCTGGAAATTACAGAAATCCCGTGAAACCAACGCTGTTTCGCTTCGTGCATTATAAAAAACACGGGTGAACGCGGCTTCGAAGAATAGATTCGGTTCTCCTTCTTATACGCCCGGTTGTTCTCGAGGATCGATTATTCAATTCAGAAGTAACATCTGTTGTCGTTAGCTCGTAAACTTGATGTTTATCGGGATAGTCTGTCTACCAGAAGCTTTGTACTCTTGGTCAGTGCAAGTCAAAGTACTCCGATCGAACCCGATAACGTGATATCAAACGGGCGATTTAATCGAGCCGATTACATCGGCTCTTTGCGACAACTATTCAACCGCGATGGAGAGAGAGACTTATCGGGGGGCCAACTGGTTCAGGTGAGCGTAGAACGGAATGTAGGCGGGCTGAGATGTCGTAACCGCGTCTCGGAATTTGACACACATTCGCTGTCATTGTACTAACCTGCGGTCCAGCGCCGTTCAAGGTATTCAAGCTATTCATTCTCATTGCTTGCGTGTAGGGCGGTGGTGCTGGCGTTACTCCTGGCACAGCCGCGTGCGGCGCGTGTCTGATCTGCTCCGCCGCTGACATTCTATTGTTCGAATCAGAAAAAAAACGAAGAAAACGATCAGTATGATTTGTACGTATATTCAACTCGCCGGAGGGGGGAGGGGGTGCACCGTAAATCCGTTTGTATTACAAAATATGACACGAGAACCAGAAGAATGGGTAAAGACGAGATCGCTCGTTCGCTACGAACACGAAATCGTTTGCCTACCAAACGCAGATTTGCTCGATTAATATTGAAACGTGCCTCTGTGCTCGTATTCAGAGAATATTATAAATATTCAGGATAGACGATTTATAATTTACTACAGAATACGATTAATCCATTGAAATCATTGCTCGCGGCTGGAATCCGTTGAACGATATGTCGTAAATGTTGCGACGTTAACAGGTGGCGATTTTGTATGATCGTCGACAGGACAGGCTCACGTTTCATTGTTGCGATATACGTTTGCTATACAGGGTGATTCTCTTGCTTAAGTGTCGGCAACCTATGACCCGCGGGGTCAATGTTAATCTATTATTCATATTTTCTCAAAGTGGTTGTTTCATGTATACGTTTTATAATTTATTTTTATATATTATACTTTATTCAGGGAACTCCAGCGGGTCGTTTGAAATTATCAAATGGGTCATTTGGTGACCCACGGGTCATAGGTTGCCGACGCCTGCTTTAGCTGGCCTGCTCTGTTTCTGTCACATACTGACAGGTTTAGAGCCATTAATAATTTAAACTACAAAACAAGCGGTATGTTTTTTTACCCTAGCAGCTAGAGAATCACCCTGTACTTTCGGACGTGTCCACGGTGCTGCCGTCTGATCCACGGACCGTCACGTTCCGCTGTGACCCTTGTCTACGATCCCCATCCCCTTTGGAGGGAGTTGGGATGGCTATAATTCAATCATCTTCGGTATAGAGAAGTCCGTCGCGTTCCTCTGTAGGATTACCGCGTCGAAACACAATTACAGTTGGTCAAAGGTTCCTCTATTATACCGTGTCGAACTAGATTGCGGATTCGATGACACCGGTGGCACACGGCGAAACGTTCCATCGAGTACTAGGAAAGTCTAAAGTCCCCTCCGTTCTACATTGGAAGTTTACCTGAGGTAAGGATTCCCGTACGTCGCGGAGAAACGGGGGTCGATCGCTGGTGTCGTTTGCGGGCTGGATGTGCCCAAATTCGCGGAACTCAGACCGATCTTCTTCGAGGCGAGTATGCCGCCCGATGGTATCCTGCTTAAGGATTCCCGCGACGCACCCACACCCTGCGTCGTGGGTGGCATGTAGTCTCGGGTATAGTCCACGTACGGCACGTAACCGTTATTGTTACTGCCGTCCTATAACACAAGAAAGGAGAATTGGTTGTGCGGGGTGGGGAAACGTTAGGGACAAATGTCGGGAACACCGACGCCATTGGCTCGTTTTTATAAACAGAAATTCGTGTGGCGAATGGAACGCAGGAAATTGAATACACGCTCGGTGCTCCACTTTCGTTAACCCTTTCGATACGGTAATATCTGCCGCGATACGTATCACACGATACGGCTGTACGAATCGCACCGCGTACTTTGGTTGCAACACGGAAGTTGCCAATGCTTCCGTACGTTTGGATATTAAATTATAAATGATCTTTAAATAAGATAACCTTTGGTAGAAACCTGACGAAAATAAAATTTAATATTAAATCTATTTCGATAGTTTGAGGACTGTTTTATGTGTACACGGTAGTTATCTGGCGAGCGACTGTAAAAGCCCGTTTACTCGTTAAACAAAAATAATTTGCGCAAGTTGACTTGTGCATTCACATTTGCACAAGCAAATCGTTGCGTTTAAATGGAAGCTAACGCCCCTGGCAAATAATTACACGCTACTTTTCTCATTATTTAATTTGTAATGACTAATTATAATTATAGTTTATTCTTTAGACGTGTATAAAATAATTGTGCAAGGTAGACTGAACGTGAAGTACAAATCAGTTTTGCGCAAATTATTTGAACGTGTAAACGGGCCTTAAATCGCTCACAGTACGCGTAGGTCGTTTCGAGATGGGGCGACATTTAGTCGGCCATAGTATCGAAAAGGTTAAGATTTTTTTCTTGCTTTTCATACGCAAGCTACCGATTCGGCCGCGGACGGGAACACGAAAACCGGAACATGTAAACTGCACGGAAGAGGAATTAATCCCTCCCGGGCACGACACTGGTGCAGTGCACCAACTTCCGCGTGCGCTCGGATATTGATGCAGTGTACTGATCCGTGAATTTTCCTATGCGTTCCGAAATTATTATTCGGCACGGATGAAACGTGATTGGTTGTTCGGTGTGTTTGGAAAATAGACATTGGAACCTTGTCCCCTTTTTTTAATGTTACACGAATACAGATTCAAAGGCCGGAACAAACCTTGAAATGCACTGAAACGACTCTACGTTAATAATTATGTATATCTAACAACTGAGTGCATTGTATGGATTTTTCGAAGTACGTGAATTTCTTTTTCACCATATTCAGGTGAAATAAAAGCGTACCATTCTTATATTAGGTATACGCAAAAGTAATTATCGTTTTGAATCAATATTACAGTAGGTATTGGTTTAATATTAATGAACGCGGTTCCCCTCGTTTTCTACAATTTTACGTCACCAGTTTTGCTAAAAGTTCAATTATATCCGAGAAGATGAAATAAAATCACAGTACCAATTTCAATGGAATGGCAATTACTTTTACAAATACACTACCGTCCATAAGTGTACAGACACAGTATAGGAGTCTCATATGTTGAAATATATGTTGAAATATTTGAGACTAATATTTCTGTTGCTATTTACCGAATTGAAAAAATATTTATCAATATTCGTAAAATATATCTCAGATTTGTACCTACCAGAGTTGGGCAAAATTGTATTCGAATAATTGTAAAATTGTATTCGTAGTGAAAGGCTACAGTATCTAACAGCGTCATCCTGGCCTTTAAACAGTTAATGAAATGAAATAATTGTCTGCCAAGTATCTATTCATTTAAGAACAAATACTATGTTGTTGTTCAAAATTCGAATTTTCACGTTTAATTAATGAAAAATGGTGAAGTACTTTTCTATCTTTTATTCGTTATTCAAAACTCTTTATTTAGATAATGAAGGGATAATTAGGACCTACCGTTTTTTCCATACAAAATTACGAACATATAACGATTGAAATTTTTGAAGGTACAAAATGCGACCTAATAATTTCACTTACGTTATTTTTCGGCGGGAACGATGGTTCTGTGTAATCGGCGCTGTAACGATAACCGAGAGGATTCGGTACAGGCCCAGCCAGCGCCAATGCATTCACTCCTCTCGTGCTTCCTTCGCCCTCGCTGTCAAGTGCTGTCACGCTCTCCGCGTTGCTGACACTCGATCCCGCTCGTATATCCGCTTTGACATCCGAGAGGTTGCTGCTTCTGTCACTCTCCCGATATCGATCCGCGTTCGAATCTGTTTCTTCTGCTGGCGACAAAAAATCCAGCTGAAGCACGACGGTGTTAAACGGTAGAGTTGTTTTAAACTATCTTGCACCCGCTTCGAAAGAACTATCAACGTGAACTGTAGAGGACGGAATTTAGATTCACTTGTGTCTCACAGAAATCATATTAATTAATTTTCATAGAATTAGAAGCGGAGAGAACAGATAATTGCGCGAGCATTTTTTGAAATGTAGTAACAGCTCGTTAAAATATACAGTTTAATATACCTCAGAGTTTAAATTGTCGTAAAAAAGATTTAATACAAGTGCACGAATTACTAATTTTCGCTCAAAATTATTCCAGTTTATTTACTGCGTAACTACCAATGAGTATTAATCTTTGTTCTATTCGCTGTAATTTGCTTTGCAACTTTTATACGTATCATGAACCATTAAGTACCGTGAAGTTTGAATGCTTTTCTTTTTCTCTAGTTGTTACACGACAATTTAGGAAATATATAAAAATGAATCGATCGAAGATACATAAAAATTGAGAAAATTTACTAAGACTCCTGAGGGATACATTCATCTTTCTGGATCCTTTTTCTATAATATTAATCCTCGGAAGGCTGATGGTTTTGATAGTAACGCAAACGTGGGTCTGTGTCGACCCTCATGCCTCTTTCCTTCTAAATGCATTTTTCAACATATTCTGCAGTGAAATGACTTTCTTTTCGTTTGAATTGAATTAGTTATTAGAAGTTGGACGAAGTTTTCGAAAACTCGGGTTAGAATAGCCCAGTCATCGTCGTCCGATTGTTAAGCACAGATTTATAATTTTCAAAAAGTAAGTGGTATCATGCATACTATCATGATTCACATAATTTCGCAAGCCCAAGGTACAACGTCTATTGGGCCCACTGACTATAATCGTACATTACACTGTGACACGACGTTGCGAACAAAGAACAGCCGTGTGTGTACGCTTGGTCTCCACCGTTCTACACGCGGATTAAACGCAACGTATCGGACTCGTTTGCATTCAATAACCTATCCTTCATGTCTGCGGAACGTTTTTCCGGATCGTTAGCGATAGATAGCCGAACGATAACGGGGGCTGCTCCTGTGTCTCTCCTCGGAAGAACGTTCTCTAGCAACGAGGCGAAATTACGAGATCGATCGACCACCGGTCACGAGCATAAAAACAATGGAAAATTGCGCGGCAGCGGCCGTGACTAATGGCGTTATAATTCATTCGAACATGATATTCCACTCACGCATATCAGTCTCCTGGGTCTGGGCTGTCCTGGGCCGGGGTTGTTTGATGCGGTCGCGGCACTGCAGAATGAGTATAATGATCACGCCAATCAGGATCACGCAGATGACCAATCCGCCGACGATGAGGATCAGTTGCCAATCGACTGGAATCAACGCTAAGCGTCACGGCTGGTTAAAATCTCGGGTATTTAGCTCAACAAGAGAGTCAGGCGTTGGTTGCTTTTTTTTTCTTGTTAAATATAGGTTTTGCTGGTTTAAAAAAAAAAAAAAAACGACCGTCACCTGGGAGTGGGGAGAAAGTAAAATTCAGGGGGGGGGATCGCGCGGCCGCTGCGACCGACTGCTTAATGAGCCTGGCTAAATTTTACAAAATGTACGCAAAATACGCGCGGCGCAACGCGTGTCGGTTAATTGAATCCCGTGGAATTTACGAGGCGACGCGGGCATCGGCAGAACTTTATAAAACGCGAGCGGCTGAATTGTTTGAAATAATGAATATCGGGTGGGCGAGTCGGTTTAGAGAATACTGGCCACCAGCGGAGAAATTTTGCAGATGTCGTTATACAGGTTATTCAGTAAATCGTGATGGAATTGAATTAATTAAATAAAATAGAGAATGTGAGATAAATTATTATCTAGAATAACATCGTTTTTGGACAAACGGAATCGATGAATTCGTTGGGCGAACGGTTTGAATGTGACTGGTCAATGTGTCTGACTATTGTTTGATATTTCTACTTCCAGTAAACATTGATCGCAGTACGATATTTTTTTTTACCAGTTTCACTACCATTTCACCCAAATATGGGTGACACGTACATTGCGAAGAGGCTGGATTATTTAAATATCGTTAGAAAATTTTTGCGTAAAATTAATATCGCAGTATAATTTAAGACAAGGCCGACAGTCTTTATTAAGTAAACATATATTTTCGACGATTTATGACGTAAAAAATGAAATAAAATGTGTCTGGATACGTACGGCTTTTTTCACTGTGGCAGTCAACGTGCAAATGATTAATGTCGCATGAACTGTAACGTTATTACCGACAGCCTGAAAAGTGTACTGTATATAATTACATTTGATTATTTTCATTACAGTTTCGTGATTCGTTTGCTTTTTAGCTTTTCAATGCGGTTCACTCCCAAATCGAACGTTTACTGTGGAAATTTGTTCAAGGAATTTTGTTTCAAGCATAATGTAAGGTAAAACTACATAATACATTTCGGTTGACAAAATGAGAACCATAATAATAACATTGAAACATATCTTTGCCCTTGAAAAAGTTCGTTGTATCACAATTTACCAAATACCCTAGACAGTCTTACGAAATTTTCCATTAAGTTTCGTACAGTACGCAGGATATAAAATTAGGGAACAGGACGTCGTACGTATTCCCCACGGGAATCCGTTTACCACCGAGTTTCACCGGGTTAATGTACTGCTTGGGTTTAGTTTCTGTCACACTGATTAAACGAAACCCTGAAAATAGACTCCACCGGGGACCAGCGTTTATACAAAATTGTCCCCTCCCCTTCCAAATTTTCCCCGGTTCAATTTTACAAACACCGTTCCTGGCATAATGTAGAACACGTTTCTATCCAACGTTCAACATTCCTTGGCTGGTCTATCTTTCGGCACAATAAAACGCGGGGGATCGCTCCGATCGGATGGATCAGAGATACCTGGGGGTGTTTTTTCGAAAAATGCAAAATCAGCAGCCGCGCGATGCCTTCGCCGGAGGATCGAGATTCCGTCATTGCGTTTTCATTTCCCCCTCTCGCTCGTCGAACGATACGACGGTACGCGGGGGGAATCGAAATGCGGACGATTCGGATTCAGCTGGAGGGGTGCGGGGCGGAAGGGAAGCGAGCGACTTTTCGGTAACCGCGACGCTCGTTCCTCGCCGAAGGATTCCTTCGTTCCGCGCTCGAGGCGAACGCTTCGAGCGTTATTCGAACCGAGAAGAACGCCTGCCAATTACGGGCGTGCCGCGTGTACGTGTGCGGTGTAAAAGTGCGGAATCGCGTGCTGTCGGAATAATGCAGAGGAAATGAGAGACAGAGAAATAGATAGAGAGGGAAAAAGAGCAAGATATAGAAAGAAGAGAAAAGATAGAGAGAGAGAGGGGGGGGGGGGGGGGGAGGGGTAGAAAGAGAGAAAAAGGTCGGTCATAATGGATATGAACTTACTGTGTGCCGTCAGCTTGATTATGACGGAATCCGTGCCGAAGCTATTCGTGACCGTGCAGTTGTAATCCCCGAAGTACGTGGATATGGGATCGAGGAGCGTGACAGTGCTGACGAACCTCTCGCCGATGTATTCCTCCTGCACGTAGAAAGGCGTATTGTTCGACGAGAAATTGAGCTCGCGGCCGGCGAAGCTCCATACCACCGAGTCCGCTTTTGGCACAGATATCGCGGTGCACTTCACCTGCGAAATCGAGGAAGGAACACAGTCGAATGAGAGAGAGAGAAAAAAAAGGCCTAGGTACTAGGTTCTCGTCGCTTGTCCTCTCTACGCTGGATCCACCGATATATATATATACACCGAGTGCCCCCCTCCCCTTTTTTAAACCACCGTGTCGTGTATCGACGGGAAAATACGAAGGACCGACCAATGAAAGAAAAAAAAAAAAGAAAAGGATATAGGAACACGGTTGTCCGATGATCACCGGGTCTATCCATCCGTGCGTGTTCATAGACGGCCCTCGGACTAGATTCTATCGGAAAAAAGGTGTCCGTTGCGTTCCACGGACAAAAAACCATTCGTTACACGATCCACAAGGATTTTGAGACGCGACGCGTCTCACGCCGCGTATTTTCCATAAACGCCGCGCTGTCGCATCTCACGAGCGAATTTACGAGGGCGTAAATCGGGATCGCGTCATTTTCGATGGGTGGGAGGTTTATGGGACCATCTGAAACCGAACCGATAAATAAAACGCTATCAATGGAATTTGCGAAGTCGATTTCGTTCCTTCGGATCGCGTCGGTGGATCCGCGTAAGTGTCGAGGTTTAAGGGTTTTAAGAGGGAAAAAAAGGGAAGGGACAGTGGAAACAACGATTGGGGGATGAAGGAATCGATTGGTAGAAATACCTTGACGACTCCCTCGTCGGGCACATACTGAACCCTCTGCGACACGATGCTAGGTGGCGCCCGGATGTAGATGTTCGCGTATCCGGTCAGTTCTGGAAACCCGGGCACACGAGCCTTACAGATGTACCGTCCGGCCGTCTCGTGATTCACCACAACACTTATGTTCGGGGTAGTGGCGACCTGTCGCTCCGAATCATCGTGGTACCAACGTATTTCCGGGGTCGGGTTCCCGTCGACGTCGCACTGCAAGATCTCCGTCGCTCCGTATTGCGTCTCCACGGAGACAGGCGGATGTCGAAACTGCGGCCCGTCTGCGGACAATTCAATTTTGACCTCCGGCGAATCCCCTCGAGATTGATATGACAGGATACGGAATAATAACAATAAAAAAAATATAGGAGAAGAGAGAATTTTCGGAAACAAAGGGGAACGATTCTCGAGATCGTTCAATCCAGTATACCGTTTCCCAGTATTTTCTACGGGCGTTATACGCGGGATCACGTTCGCCTCACGCTCGATCAGAAAAGGCGACCATAAATCGAGAGGACGCGTCCGAAAAATACGCCGACAAATGCTTCCTGAAGAGCTCCGATTTATCCTTCTCTATCCTCTCTACGTCTTCTGACAAGCGTGATCCCGAATTTCGCTGATGCCTCGCGCGAAAACCCACGAAACTAAATCCCACCCCCTAAACCCCACCCGTTAAATAGCCGGGCAAAACGGTAGCTTGCTGGACCGGAGCTGGATACAGAAGAATGGCGAGACGAGTCAGCGAATAGTAAACGCGTGGATTTGGCTCGCGACCTCGTGAAACCTCGTCCAACTCGCGGAAATACGTAATTCCCGGTCTACGAGGCGCGATATCATCCGAGAATTATTCTGACTCTCTCCTCCCTAGTGACTTAAAATTTTAATACTTCCATGGCCACACTCACAGGTTATATCCAAGGTCTCTGTGTCCTCGCTCTTGCCGACGTCGTTGTGGACCTCGCACTTTACGATCGCATCGTGAAGATCGCGGGTCGCGTTGTGGATGATCATTTCGGTGGTGTAGTCCCCGATGACTTTCTTCTCGTTGATAAACCACCTGAGGAGGAGATTGCGCGGTAATATACGGGGATCTCTGATGTTGAGGATGTTTAAGGATTATTATAGCTCAATGGGGTACGTTGATGCAACCATGAAGTAATTAATTTGGCCTAAAATATTATATATGATTTTTACAAAACGCCATATAACCCCAATCCAGGGGTTTAGATTCACTTATCCAGATTCTAAATTTAACACAGCCTTGATAAAAAATATTATGTTTGGACTTACACCGGGTCCCAGCAATCTGTATGTCACAGTCGCTGTCTGAGCGTTCGTTGTGCAAGAGTTAATATCGAGAAATTTTTCGATCAATCTCTTTCCTTCTTCACCCTCATCTCCTTATTTCCTGGTAAGCCTTTTTTCAGTGTGTCCCCATATATCTCGTTCTTCAATTATTCTTCCAGCACGATCGATACGAGTTCCGCGAGTTCACAAAGGGATCGAAAACCACAGAAACGATAACCCCTCGCGAATTAGATTCCGAGAATATAACGTTTCCCCGAACGAGATTCTCCTCGAGAATCGTAGTTCATGCCCGGTCCTCAGACCGCGAGCCAACGACGCGCAGTCCCGCCCGATTTATTCTCGTTCGCCAGCAGAATCGATGAAAAGAACGCGAGCGAGGATCGTTTCGGATGGCAATAAACGAGAAGGCAGAGGCGCCTCTTTTCAAGTGCTCGAATCGCGATCACATGTGTTATCAAAGCCTGGCAGAGGGAAAAGCGAAGACAGACTGAATAGAACGGGCAGGAAAGTTGGCGGGGCTCGTTTGTCTTCAGAAAGCAACCCCTAGCACCCTTCACCCCGTTGCGTCACGATCGACTTTCATCAAAGTCGCGGCCCCGCTAATAACGATCGAATACCCGGGGGCCACGGTGCCGTGTTTTATTATTTTCGTCGAGATTAAACGGGCGAGAAGTTTCGTCGTAAACGCGACCCGAACCGCCACCGACCCCGCAGGTCGTACGTGTGTCGGTTTTACGATTTCGATTTGACCCATAAAACTTCGGCGTTCCGCGTCGAAAGTTGCGCCCCCCTTCGGCCACCCTTCACTTAATTAAACCCTGTTTATATCGATCTCTTTTTATCTTCACTGGGCTCATCGTCTGGTTCCCGATACCAGAGCCGCGACACGAGAACGGACATCCCATTCACGTAGCAGCGGCGGTTAGCTTTCGCTTTCGTTTCCTAAAATCTTTCTCCCTCTCTTTAATCGGATCTGAGAGAACAAACCGGCCGGGTCGTTGGGTGGCTATTTACACACACACACAGATACAGCGTGTAGAGAACTCGCGGGCCCATCGAAGCGGGCAACAAGACAACGCGTAATGCGACGCGCGACCGGCTAACATTGTCCTAAACTTTCCATTGTTCCCTCTTTGTGACTAGCATCAATTATTCGCTTGCTCCGTGCCGCAACCGATTTCTCGCTAATTCTCCCTTTGTCCGGTCGCGACCTGGCGTTTTCCAGATAAAACAACAACGGTGGGTTTCGTTTGCCCGGACTAAAAAAAAAAAAACGACACGTAATAAGCACTCTCCTCTGATCCTGAAAATCCGTGACCGAGCCCGCGCGCGCCTGTTCTCCGGAGTATCCTTTTTCCCGATACCAGTCCAGTGGTTAATCCATTCCAGTACGTAAAACCTGTTGGACGACGCGACGAGTGCCCCCGAGGGCTTTTTTGCACAATGTAGAATTGAAGAGTTTACGGGGGGGTTCCCTTTGATCGTGCGACAAAATGGAAAGGTAATGGATCGGTTTTCATTTATTGTTCGGACGGGGTTTCAAGCTTGTTTTAATTCGGTGGAACTTTATTCGTCCGAAATGGTTTCTTTTCTGTCTGGTCCGTATGTCGTCGGTATGATCGATCGGGATCATTGAAATTCTGCAAATCTGGAGGAGTAATCGAAGAATAGAATTTCTTATTGTTTGTTCCAAAGGGGTGAAATGGACCTAGGTACTCGGAGAAGAACATTTTCTCCAGAAGTTTACTCATATTCCATACCTTGTCCCTTTACCCAACGACAGACAGCATTTTCTGCACGTTCATAATAAAAAACCAGACATGGAGCATGGCGTGATTCAAAGTCGTAGAGATAACCTTCAGTAAGCAAATTTTCTGGTTCGGTCTCTTACAGATCCCGGAATCACCGACATGCAATATTGTTTCGCTGTTCAGAGGGTCTTCGCGGTGAGTATCGATTGTCAGCCTCTTGTCCGCCCCTGCAGCGATACGAGCAACCGGAGCCGGGTGTACTCGCGTTATTCGCGTGTTGTCCGCCCCCAACCCCTCCCACCCCCTCCCTTCCTCCCTCACTCACCTGTACTCGACATCCGACGGATTGGCCTCGGCACGACACTTGAACCGAAGCTCGGTTCCCTCGATGATGCGGTCATTCTTGCCCAGGCCCGAGCGAATTCTCAGTGATACTTTCGGCGCGTAGCGAACCTGTAAAATCGAGGATTACAAGCGTTCGATAGGCTGGTCACAAACTGGAGGATGCTCTCGAAATGTCACGCGAGTCGAATGCTCAAACTTTCATGAGTAGACTGTGGATTTTATGCATTTATAGCGAATATGATTATTTATAATATATAAAAATATTTTATAAACTTCGATGAGGTATTTGTTTTATTTTGTACCTAATAGTATCGTTAATAAGGTAAAGAAATTTCTGTTTGATACCAGTTTTTGTAAAATAGACAGTAAAAATCTATATTTGCATAAAGATCCGCAGTCTATTCATGAGCATCGGATCACGTACACACGGGATCGATCCGCGGTATGCTCGCCTCTGCTCGCGTGACTCCTCGAGTGTTTAGCGTACTCTTTAATTCACCGTCGGACATAATTTCGCGACGATTAATATTCGGGCACGGCGACAAGTCGATGCTTCCGTCGACGAATTACGATACCGTTGGGAGAGCATCGGTCAGGGTCGTGCGGTTGCTCTTGTCGGAGATACTGGGTCGTCGACGTGAATCATTAACCGCTTGAGGACGTACCCCGAGTTACGTCGGTTTTGATGTAATGTGGAAGTTTCTTTATCGTGAATTAACTAGTGCCTACTGTGCTAGTTTAATTTGTTGAAAATTGTGTACGTTTGTGTGGTTCGACAAACTTTTCTTTAACCCTCCGTGGTCACACATTACGGTACAATTAAACACGTCTACTTTGACACGGTTGCTGTTTTTACAATATTCTTTTTGTTCGCTTGTAAAAATGATCGAACATATTCTTAACATTGTAGAACAAGGAACAATTGCGTTTGTATACAAATTTCAATATTAACATATAAAAAATCGCGAAGATAGAGGTTCTGTAAAAAATAAGCTTTTTTGCTAAAAAAATCATAATTATTTTATTAGTTTGGATGTTTTTTTACGTAAAGTTATAAAACCGTCAAAATGGGGAAAGTGGGTGGGTCGAAAGTGGCCGTCTGTCAGTCGCGCGCGATTATACCGCGGGACCAGATTTCGGGACGCGACGTTAATTATTTTTCAGCTCGTTACCGCGATTCTGGCCGGTTTCACCTAGCCCGTGATAATCTCGTTTCTCGTTCGAATAAAAAAAAAAGTGGGTTGTCGAGAGAAACGCGTAAAAGCTTGGAATCCCTTTTTAGCTAGAACGGCCCAGTTTTCCAGCACACACACACACACACACTCTTTTTCTCTGTTTCTCCATCTTATTTCCAACTCACCTCGACGCGCAGCTTCGCGTTCTGCGGAGTGCGGTCGGCCGCGTTCTGACTTTGGCACGTGAACGTCGTGTTGTCGTGATCCTTGCGCGGCATCACCCTCAGGACGGATTTCACGGTGTAGAGGGGGCCGTCGTCGAACAGCTCCTTCGTCGTCTTGATTCCCCTGTGCAGTACGTTCCCCAGGCCATCGATCCACGTGATCTGCAAATGAACGATGGTGATCATTGGTAACGCACCGAACGCTGTCAACGGTGATTATTACTTGGTAAGATGAATGACAAGGCATTTCTGCTAATAACGAAGCTATTGTTCCTTTGAATGAATTATTGAAATTGAGATGTAAGGCCTGGAATTTATATAGCGAGGTCGTAAAATCAGTCTGGAGTGAAAGTTTACATGTTACAAGCATCGAAACAGAAATTGATTGCTGGTAAAAAGCTTGAGCTCCGTTCAGGGCTGTACGATAAAAAAATGTGCGTCTTAATCTGTAACAGCTGCAGTTAAATTTTTACCAGTACTGCGATTGTTAACGAGCAGTGATAGGTGGGGACTTAACACTGAGCGGTCGTAAGGCGGGCTATGCTCGACACGCATGATCGTTCATTTACAGGATCTACACGCGATGTCAAACGCAAAAGAAGAAGAAATAAATGATGGTTGTTAGCCCCTGGCGTGGCGAAGGAATGAGCGATTTCTGGTGTTTGATTTTTTTTCTTTCGATTGTACAGGATAGGTACTGTTTAACTAGACGTCGACCGCTTAAAAATAATTGCGATAAATAGGGTACCCATGTCTCAGACTTCTACGACCGCAATGAGTTAATATCGTACCGTTTTAATGAAAGAATGTAAGTGGCTATGTCAAATATCAATTCAGAAATGACATCTGTAACCTAAGAGATACGGTACAACTATCGATGTCCTCGCTTATAGCTTTAACACTTCGACTGCCACGTCACCCAAGTATAGGTGACACTTACTTGCAAAGAAGCTGAATTATATAAATATTGTTACAAAATTTCTACGTAAAATTAATATCGCAGTATAATTTAAAATAAGTCCAACCGCCACTATCAACTAAACGCATATATTTCGACGATTTATGACTTAAAAAACGAAATAAAGTGTGTCTGGACATGTACGGCCTTTTCCATTCTGGCAGTCGACGCGTTAATTTAAAGCCTCGCTACATCAGGGCTGGTCGCGGTTATACCGAGTGATTCCGTTACCAGCCCTCTGCCCGAGGGTCACGGGAGGGTTTTTAGCGTGGTGAAATCCCGCATTGGTCGTCTCCGCCACCATTGGAGGCGGTGCATCTTTTCAAGGTTATCCCCCGTAAAAAAAAGGCCTCATTACATAGGGCCCAAAACATCATTGATACCATATAGACACTAATAGGTCATGAACCTCAAATACGTTGGATATCATTCAATTTTTCATAATAGTAATAGTTCTAATTTTCATATTAGTATACTTTATTATCCATATTTTTTTATCTACTTACTTATCCATATTACTTTATCTTTATCCTACTTTCTTCACCATATTGTTGTGACGTTTGACGCTATGCAAAAAAAAACAAACATGGCGTAACAATATTATGCTTCCATTGGTTTATCATCGAAAATTAACATTATCGTTTACTCGTAGGTGTAATTCCTTCGAGGGATTCATTAAAAATCAGGCTCTTGATGACATGGCGTAACAATATTATGCTTCCATTGGTTTATCATCGAAAATTAACATTCCTTCGAGGGATTCATTAAAAATCAGGCTCTTGCCCGTACGTCATAGGTAAAGAGCCCTCGTTCCTCGGGCTGGGGATGGTCTATTAGCATGTAATTTCAGGAGGAAGATTTTCACGAAGAAATCTGTCAGACTCTGAGAGGAGCTTATCAAACCCGAGCACAAAGAGTGCATCAAGGGGGTTGAGTGAACTTCGGGGCACGGGGAGGCGCGCATGGGTCCCGCATATCGGAAGTTATTTCATTATAACGGACGCCGTCATATTTTATTCAATAATACCCAGCTACGATCGATCTTCGTGATCGGGTTCGTAAGAACGGCTTGGTAAGTAGCGGATCCTGGTTAACGGGAGCTTCCGGCGACCCAGCGTGGACCAAACGGTGACGGAGGGTGCGGCCTTTATCTCGCGAGGAAGTAAGCTCGCTCTCTGAACTTTCAAATTTTCTCCAGCGGAATTAATTCACGCTCCGTGTCCCCTGCTTCAAAATCTACCCTCGTTACCGAATACGGAACGCGGTGAGATATCGTCTTTCGTCCCTTTCCCTCCCTCGATCGAGCTGGCTGGGCGTTCGTTTTACGAATGATCGATCGACGCTCGAACCCCGCGGTTGGTCCCAGCATCCCGTTGCTCGAACGATTCCGCAGTCGGTTCTCGGTTGAATGCACGCACGCGACTTGATAGGCTTGCGTGGTAATCGATGCGATTGGGGAAGGGGGGGGGGAGGGAGGGCCTAATTAGAAATCTCGCGACGCGAATTCGATCCGGCTCGTCGGTTAATACGCGTGGTATTTCCGGTTCGTAACGTCACTGTTCGACTCACGGGCTTTGTATTATAACCGTCCCATTGCGGAAGCTGTTTATGGATACTCGTGATACTGCTGCACGGCAGCTTCTTAACGGGCCTGTCGAGCTATTAAATTCTATTGCCACGCGTACGTTCAGAAATATCAAGGAATCGCATACTATAGCAGTAATGAATCTATATTTAGCGGCAGTTATTATTGCATTAATGTTTCAACCAGAAGTACAATACCGAACCGATTTTCTACGTGTTCGGCTTCTTTCGTTTCCGTTAATTAGAATTTAACGAGGGGCACGATGGAGATCATCCCGAGTATCGAAGGACAGAGAGAGAGTGGCGCTCCGAACCACGTTTTCAGAGTAAACTCTGGAAAATCGTACGTAGTCGAGGCACGCGGAACGGCAATCGGAGGAGGGCACTTGTTCCAGTATTCGGATAATGAAAGCGTGCTGGTCTGCGCGGAGAATTGGTCCGCCGAAAAAATCTTGCTATTGCCTGCCGTTGGATGAGCATCGTCGGCCCACACACACACACATTTCCTTGAGGCTCCTCTATTATTCGTCTAGGTGGTTCCGAGCGTGTATACACGATATCGTCGGGGATATGCGTACCGATTAGGTATACACACTTACGTGTATATGTATGTGTGTCCTAGGTGTATGCAAACACTAGAGAGCGTAGTTGCTGCTCCACCGTAGCCGCACCGACGCGAATCGATCGTATCGTCTATAATTAGGCATGCTGCATCCAGTGCTTCTGCACTCTCATATCACTGAGAAGTCCCGCCGAGTCGTATCGGTTCGAGAACACTATTTTCGATACTCGAGCGGCGCGACGGCGATGGTGTGCGTTCGCTCGCGTTGTAATTTTAATAAACGCGCAGCGATCACGCGCGCAGAAAGTCGTGTCTACGTGTAGATCGAACGAACGTAAAGGAAAAGAAAGAAACGATCCCCGGATGGACGGCCTTTGGAAATTTCTTTCCTTGCCCCGATGAATATTCGATGAGTGGCCGCGCTCCAACCCCCGATCGACTCGACCTACCCCCTTTTGCCAAGGAAGAACTTTTCTTGCATCTTGACTCGAGAAAATATACGTACTTTCTTCGCGCCCATACCAACCCCTCCCACAGGATCACGGCTCGAGAACGCTCGCAGACTTAATTCCAGCTTCGTCGGCGATCGCTAGGGTGGCAATCGCGCTGATGGATCTTCGGCTCCTTCTGGACAAGCCGGAAAATAATAGAACTGTTCAACGGGAGCGCTGTATTAATTCCGCTCTTTTGTTCGACTCGCAGCCTTTCGTCGAACCCTTTTCTACCGACGAGAGTTTGGCTTTCGTTATCTTTCTGCTTCACAGTCCGAAATATCGTTGCTCGATTTGGCTATTATGGATTGGGAGGCAACAATAGTTTCTTTTGATTTGGATGGTAATCGTAGAGCTTAATAGATATGAACTTAACTACAGATTATTTCAAAATTCCAAAATGGTACTAGAATTGCAGGTAGCCCATCGCAACACAAGAAGCGTTCATTTAACTTTTAGTTAGGCTGTGGGGTGTATCCCTATTCGGTAATTGATAAAACTCGAAAGTCAGCGCAGTGCTCAGGTCATATATGTACACAAATTTTTTCAAAAATTTCCGGTAATCTAAATGTTAACGTCGCCTTTTCCTCGTCGTTCACAGGTAGGGGAATCGATCCCCGGTCCATTCTAATTAGAACTTTCACGGATCCGTGGGCCAGTACCGCTCGCCATTACGGCGAACAAACGGCCCGTTTCGATAGAGTTGCCTCGTGTTATTTTATCCATCGCGGGGATCCACGGCGAATCCTTCCTCGAGCTGGAGGAAGTAGTAAACGCGGGGCTACGATTACGTGCCCTCGAGCCATCTACCGATCGATCTGTCCCACCCTAAATAAATGCAGCGTGAACCTAGCTCGAAGCAGCGCATCAGTCATCCGATTTCTTACATAGAGCGTTTTTTTTCACGACCTAAATATCATGTCCGTGGAACGTCGGGCCCCGATATAGGCGGTATTGTTTCACGCTGTTGTGTCCCTCGCGTCGGCCGGGTGTCTCTGTAACCTTGGGCCACAACGTTTATTTCTAGCCGAGCTTCCCCTAACGCTCGGTTGTATTTTTATAATTCCACGTAAGCGGGTAATCTCGTTTAATGTTTCCGCGCCGGTTCGTTAACGGCTGCTTTATAGTCCTTTATGGAATTAATTAAGAATCGGGAAAGGAGGGAGCGTCGTCGTAGAGTCAGCGACAAGCACACTCGGTCGGTAACGTCTATCCAGCGTGTTCACCTTTACCTACCGAGGCGCGTCTTCAACGGTCGAGTCTCACGCGCGTTGAGCGTAGAGTTATCGTCAATTTCGCGAAACGATACCGTTTCCCCTACCCCTCGCGAGATTCGTTATCCGACAGACTAGAATATCGTTCGCGACGGGACGTACCATCCGTGGTTTCATCGAGGGTAATTGCGAAAATGAAAGATCGCGAAGGCCGCGAACCCGCTCGTATTTCAGGGGGGAACCCCAGACTTAGACAACTCTCGTGTTATTTCTTCGGTCGCCTTTCCGTTCCAGCCGACAACGCGTAATTAAACAGGGCCGGCGGGGCGAGTAAAAGGAGCATTTGCCAAGGA